AACCGGTGACTATTTTGGGGAGATTTTGGATTTATGTTTGGGTTTATGTTTGTGTTATCTTTGGATTTAATATTAGAAGGTGTTAGGGTTTGCAGAAGGTGAAAGGAAAGGAATAGGAAGAAGAAAGGGAAAAGGGAAAATCAAAGGAAGAAAAAAAAATGGGAAAAGGAAAATTTTTAAGGTTTTTTCTTGCCATGCCATTGTTTTTACCATGCTGCACATCTTATGTGTCAATTTACTTTTACATGTCATCTTTTTTCCCATTAAGTAACTGGACACATAGGTAGATTTTTAATGGAAAGACCAGGTTGGGGTTAAAATGATAAATAATAGGGACCAAATTAGGGATTTTTTAAGTTTAGGGACCATATAAATGATCTGTACAGTAGTTGAGGGACTAAAATGGGGGTTTAACCTTATTTTAGGAATGAGGAAGTAGCATTTTAAATGGATTTAAAGTTCTCCATTTGGAAGAATTTGACTTTTGAAACTTAGAATTAAGGACAATTTATGTTTTTATTCATATTAACTTAAGAAAATTTATATTATCTTTGAAAAAAGAAGATAAAGATAAAGAGAAATTTAAGATTGATAGTTAAGGGATAGGATTAAGATATAAAAAAATTATTTATTTTCTTTAAAGTATAATAAAATGATAATAAATCTAGAAGAAAATTTCAAGTTAGAAAAATGATTATTATTTTAAGATTATTTGATATAGCAGTTTGCATTTAACATTTAAAATTTTTAATCTAACAGTTAGTTTTTAAAAATATCTCAGAGAAGTTAGGTTTTATAAACATATCCTCCACAAAATTTTAAGAGGACAACTTAGACTACACTAACACTAAAAATATATAATAGTTATCATATCATAATAGGAATAATACAAAATATCTCAATGTCACATTCCTTATTTGTGGCTAAAAGAGCAAATATTTAAAAATGTTAATTTTCTCTTTTAAATAATATATAAATACATAAATCTAATAGGATCAAACTCTAAAACTAACTAGAAATTAGTTTTTCTTAAAAGCTTTTTTTTTTTTTTTTTTTTTTGACTTGGTTAGTCTAGCGTGATTATAATACAAAGAATAATTTAAAATTCATGTAGACACACATTAAAGAACTTGAAGATTTTTTCATTAAGTGATTTTCTATATGTTGTATTCTTTGGGAAATATTATTATTAAGTTTTCTACAAATGAAATTAGAATTTGATACCCCTTATTGTTATATTGAATTCAAAGAGACATATGTTGACTTAAATCGGCATCATCTAGGATACTTTAGTTTTTTTCAAAGAAATTAATTAAAACAATATAGTTTATAAGTATTTTTCTTAATTTTTGTTTGCAGGTGTAATATATATAATATAGTTACCGATGATAGAGTTATTTGTATATATATGTATATGTGAAAAAAAGTAAAAATCAAAACGTTTTGATATTTAAAATGTAGGACTCTTTATAAAATTATTTAAATACCCTTAATGAATCTTTTTTTTTTTGTTGATTCATTAAGGATATTTAAACAATTTTATAAGGAGTCCTTACATTTTGATTGCTAGGATGTCCTGATCATTTTTTGTAATCCCTATATATAGGATAGTATATCAATTTTGACTCTTAAAAAATGTTGAGTCCCAACTTCAAAAACACTACTTTTTAATGAATACTTTCAAAAACCAATTGTTAGATTTAATGTTCCATTCATGTAGATTATGTACATTAATTTTCAAGTTTTTTTTATAAGTGTTAGCGACTTGGGATGATAGAAGTTTAAATCTTTGACTTTGATCTCAAATCAAGGTTTTTTAAAAAGGGATACCAACTCAACTAAGCTCTTGTTGGTAATTTTTATATTAATTGATTGTATATAGCTAGTTTATTGATTATAAAACGTTTACTATTGTTAAATATATATTAGAAAATATAAGTTTCTTAATCAAATGATTATAGATATGAGATTAACTTAAAAAATGGCATACATAATTTATATCAATGAAACATTAAATCAAATGATTGGCTTCTAAAAATATTCATTAAAGAGTGCATTTTTGAAGTTGGTAGTTGGTACTTCAATTTTCTTGTGGGAATTAGATTGATACACATTATACATATAAAAACCTTGTTTTATAATTTAGATTACACTGAATTGCAAAATAGAGACCACTAAATGAAGGAGAGGGTTTTAGTATCAAGAGTCCAACCTCTATTCAATAATTAATATAGTACAATTTGAAATATATTAAATTGCATTACACTTTTTTGATATAAATAATGAAACATCACTTTTTTCTTAAACTTCTAGTTTGTCTCCCAAGCTACATTATAAGACCACCAACCATATGATATCGTTACTGGTGTGGAGTTGTTTGTATTTTTAATGACAGATTTAGAGTTTAACTCCTAACCTATGCAAAAAAAAGAAAAAAAAGAAACCCATATTAACGAGAGTGATATTTTTCTACTTTTCTGGATCTTGTACATGCTCTGCAGACTGTCCTATACTTTCGGCTATGAACGCACCAAAGAGAATAGGATAATATTCTTTTTTTGCAATTTACTCTCGAGACTGTCATACACTTTCAGTTACAAACGCACCAAAAAGATTAAAATAATATTCTTTTTTGGGAAATTACTTCAATGAATGCCACGAATATAGAGTTCGGTTTATCGGGGTTTCCTACTTCTTCATCAACAAAAGTGGGATTGGTGGCGCAGTGAGTTGTTTCCTTCACAGTATCTTCTAATGTTATGAACAATATTAGTATATTAGCTAATCTAATCATTAGAAAACAAATAAAAGTTCATGTTTATTACATTCTAGACCTTATTACAAGATAGACTACAAGGTATCTGGCTAAAATTAAAAAATAAAAATAAAAACTACATTGTAACGTAGTGAACTAGAGTGAAAATGAATGTAACTACGGATTTGACCCAACCCGTGCAAAAGTTTGTTTTTTACTTTGTTGATCTAAATTTGCTTTTTATATTGAATATAAAATCTCTAATGAGATGAGTCAATCGTTAAAACCTTGAAATTTCAAGTTAGAGATCTTAAGTTTGAATCTTGAGTCAAGTGAGAAATAGTTTAGAAAATAGGAGGGCTATCCACTCTTATACAAATCTATCATTATTAGATATACTAAAAAAATATTGAATATAAATGACCTGGCTAGTGGACCAGCTTGGGAGTTCACAAGTGAGAAAACACGAATACATATGAGCACCATATTAGACTCAAAAGATATGCTTATTAGTTTCATGGGCCTCTCATATATATATTGCACTCTAATACCATATTTCTCACCGATGTAAGATCTTGTTCACATCTCTTAGCCTCACTTACATATTCATATACTCCAACATTCTCTCCCTTAGACTCTCTTGACAAGTAGTATCAAAGCTAATGGTTCAATCCTGGTGCAATTAGTGTTCAAGGATTGGTTTGGTAGAATTGTGAGGGTGGAGAAGTTTATGGCATAGTAAGGACTCCACAATAATGATCCCATGATAGAAATAGAAGAAGAATGAAGTCTTCAAGTGAATGAATCAGCTCCAAAGTCATCTGGTAAATAAGTGAGATCTAATAAATGGGATAAAAGTAAAAATAAAAATCAAGTTCTCATTAAAATAAAAATAAATTAACCTTTAAATAAATTTCACAATACAACTTTATCTAGCACCAGCTAACAAAGGTATCCTCGATTGGATTGTTTATGGGAACATAGTTTCGTTCAAGCAAATTAGTTCAGGACTTGAAACCTATTCAAGTAAGACTGTGCTTTTTAGACTAAAATGAGATTATTTGATTTTATTGTAAATTCGTTGGAATCATGCTGAAATAAGGGACATGTGCCAATCTGCGATTGTCAATATTAAAAGCTTCACAGTATAGAAATCAAAAGCCACAAACATAGGAAGAAAAAGGAATGTGAAACGATAGACTACTAGGGAGGACCAAGGACCATTAACGGTTAAAAATTCAAAGCAAAACAGCAGCCTTTGTGAATTACTCAAACAATTCAAAAGGACATACTTTAATAAAAAAAGGGCATGTGTACAACGGTGCAAAAATTTGGGTTTTGTGGGGCAAGCATGATCGGGAAGACTTTTATCATTTCTTCTTCTTATTTATTTATTTATTTATTTTTTTTTTCGCCCAGGAAGACTTGTTGACTTTTTAATGAATATTTAGGTGCAATATTATACGGCTGAGCTACCAGTCCAAAGCTGTCCCAAAATGAATATATAAAACTAAAGTCATTTCAACAGATCTTCATAAACCAAACATTTGGGCTGGTGAATTTGTACAATTGCTGGCTACAGGAGTTTTTTTTTTTTATGAATTTGCTGACTACAAGAGTGATTCAATTGTTTAAAAACTTAGAGACCTTAAGGATTCAAACCTTGTGCTAGGGAAGAAGGAACAGGAAAAAAGCAGAGTGATGATGTTACTCTTGTATAGCTCATTTCTCGAATGCCAACAATAAACTCTTCCAGCTGGTCATTATAAGTTTATGAAAAAACAGGGCTTTTGAAACTCATTGTTTAGTTTCTATGTTCAAAGAACGAGCAAACCTGTTCTATTTAACACGAAAGCAGCCAATTTTTGGTTTCCATACTAGTTTTAAGCTAGGTTTCAGCAGAAATCAAAGAAAAATAAAGAGAAGGTTAGAAATAGGTGAAAAGCATTAAACTTTGTAACCACAAGACATGGTCAATCTTATTTTCTCCCCAAGCTATCATGGGGGAAGATGTTTGAGCATCAAACTTCTAAGCAACAACGGATTTTTAAGTTGGAGATCTTGGATATCGGATTCAAATCTTTAAATGGGCAACACAGAGTGGGGGAAAAAAGAGAAGGCCAATCAATGATTATATCAACCAAAAATCATATGAATTCATTCGGTACATTATGAAAAATCTAACTCCAGCAAGTGGAATGGTGGATAATAGAGAGAACAATACAATTCTAGAAGTACAAAAATAGATAAAAGATTCATATTATTAAGCAGAATTAACAATTTAAAGTTTTCAACTACAAAATATCTGTGTATGACATTTCTATAACCACAAATGATTATACTGTAAGATGAAACACAAAACAAAAGAAATTAATCTCTGTGCAGAGGAAACTCACAAAGCAAGAAGCCAGTTCTTTTCTTTTCTGCACTTTAGTTATGGTGTGGGCTGAGAGGTGTCAAACCAATTGAGGCTGCCAACATGAACAACTGTTTGGAACCACTTTGGGATCCCTTGAAAAGCCATGTCCTTAAATTTACCTGTCTTTGGATCATAAGAAACCAACACTCTGTTCTTATACTCCAGCAATATCTCTCCATTCTCCAACAGACAAAGAAACTTAACAACACTTCCATGGGTGTTCTTCCAGAGCTTGAAAGGTCTATCCAGGTTTTGTTTCAACCCTTTTGGCATGTATGATCCAATGCTGAATTTTTTCTCCCAAGACTCCTTCACGTTGTATTCTTTCATAACCCACATCTCCAATTTCCCATAATTGCCATAACCAGCTGCAGCAAGGCATCCTCTCAAAGCAACCAGATGGTAATTGCATCTGTTCAGACCACCACAGTCAGGTTTCTGAACCTCCCGGAACTGCTCATCTTCCAAGTCAAACGAGATGATCCTGCGAGCTGGATGATACCTCCGCGGCCTGGTGATCCAGTGAAGCCTTCCATTAACTAAAGCTTCAGATGGTCGCCGGATAAACTGGTATGCTACTTTTCCTAAACTCTTCCAAGAAGAGCTACCCAGAGTTAAAACCTGAACATCTGATTGGGGATAAACATGACTTATCCGGCGAGCACGTTGGTAATTCCTGTTACTAGTATTTCTATAATAGACTACCTTAACTACTTTGTATTCCTTAGTCTTCGGATGGAACCCAAATCCAAACACCACTTCTTGATCGGGATACTTCTTAGACTTAGGCAGCTCCATATAATCCATGGTAAAAGGATTATAAACATAAAGTGCATCATTGTATAACGAATCAGACAGGCATAGCAAACCATTGCATGATCCTACTAAATCAAATTCAGGCATGGTAGATTGAAAAGGAGCATGCAATTTCTTTACCTTCTCTTTGTCAAGATTCTCCGTTGATAAATCCACAAAGTAAAGCTGGTTTCGGAGAGGGAAATCACAGTGAAGGATGAGACATGGGTTGGTCTCAGCATAGCAGGAGAGATGGTTATTAGCCAGAAAGGGATCTTGAGCCAAGGACCGCCATGCTTTACAGACAAACTTGAACTGCACTAGAGAGGTGATTGGCAGCCTAGAGAGAATATCAGCAACGATTTCCATGGGAATTTTTTCCATACCGGTTATCTGTTGATCATCCCCAAGAAGTTGTGTTCTTCTCCTCTTGACCAATTTCTCAAAATCCGAATCCTCCATCGCCAGGTGCAGATTCAGAGAACACATGGATGGATTAAAAGGGGTAGGTTTGGAGATGAACAAAGATGCTGCTGCAGATAGACATGGTAGACTTTGGTGAGATCAAATTAATATAAAAAGAAAAAAAAGAAAAAACTAAAAGAAAAAGGAGACGGAAACAACAAGGAAAATGGTGTTATGTAGGAAGCATCATTGAATAAACTCTTCTTGCAGAAAAGTTCAAAATTTTCTCTTTTTAATTTTCCGTGGAAAATTAAAAGAGAAAGTTGATAGACCCAACAATCTCCACCGTTCAATCAGCACAAAAAGCCAGAAATGTGAAAAGAAAAAAAGCAAAATTTATGAATCAAATTCAAAGCTAATGCACACATGGCCCTACTGAAAGCGACCCAGCAACATTAAGTCTACAATACTGTTCGGAATTAAGAACAATAATATTAAGAGATGCAGCAACTGACAGATAATATAAAATATTAAATAAAAAAAATTTTAAAAATAAATATATAAAATAAAGTTCTTGCTTTTCTTCTTCTAAAGATAAGCACCGCAATATGTTTAAGCAACGGTGGTGATCATGCGCAGAACATAGGGGCCCTTCACAATATAAAATTCCAAAAAAGTTACGACATAAAAGTCTTTAAACACGACAAATATCCAAGAAAACAAAAAAGAGAGAGAGAGGGGATAGAATTGGGAAAGTAGTTAGTTGACCGGACCGGCAGAAATCAACCGGAAATTCCCAGCGATGGTGTCTAATTGATTGGAGAGGTATTTCCAGAATTTGGAGGGGATGATTGAAATGGGATTTTCTTCTTGGAAGAGATTTGGAAGAAGCATAAATCATTGTATAAATTCAACTTTCTCTAGGAAAGTAAAGTATGAAACTTATTTTAAACCCAAAAGAAAGCATGAAACTTACCTCCCAACAAACTTCTCTCTTGAATGAAAAAGGGGGATTTGGTGTTGCACGTAAACCACTTCTCTCCCTCACTCTCAAAAATGGTTCTTTAACCCATACGCATGCCAAGGGCCAATATATAGAGTTAATGAAAACGCCATGTATGGAATACTGATTTTACAGACATAAATAGGGTGATTATAAATAAATTTGTACATATTAATAAATGGAAATAAGGGATTTGAAGAAATCTTAATAATTAATAATGACAGATTTACTTCCAAAAATTGGCAGAGAAAAAGATATATTCTTTTAATTTCATTCCATCAGTAGCTTGGCTGAATCAGTCTTAAGTTTAATGGATTTCAGCTTTCCAATTCAAGAATTATAAATATTTTATTTTTTAAGCCAAATGTAATAATTTTTAACACTGAACATGTAATAATTTTTTTTATTAGCACGTAATAATTAGTTGACCATTAATGTTCTCTAATTAATATATCAAGTAATATTCTCAATATTTGGTTGCAAGTTGCAATTAGGAGCGGCACAATCATAATATAATATTAAATTAATAAGTATATATGATATATTTTTTTATATTTATAATTAAAAAATTTTAAATATTTTTTATGTATATTAAGATTAATATTTTTTAAGTAATTTTAAGAGTCCATCTCTATATCAAATAGTACATTTAAAAAAATTGATTTTTTTATGATTTCAATACTTAAAATTTAAAATTTAACTTATAAAATAATACTTATTTATTAATGAATTTAAATTATAAAATTTACATATAATATCATAATTTAATAAATTTTTAAATAAAAAATAAATTATATTAAAAAATATTAATTTTATAAATTTATACTAACATGCGTATTTATAATTACATTATTTTCATATTTAGTTGATAGAAAACACTTATCCTATATTGGGTAGGAATGTAATTTTACTACCATATAGTATACAATTTTGGAAAAAGTTGGGGGTGGGTGTCAGCTGGAGTATTGCCACACCCAATGTTCCCGTGTCAGCTGTAAAGAAAAAACATTAAGCTAAAATTCTATGTTAAATTTACCAAAATAAAAAATAAAAAAAATAAAATTCTTTGTTAAATCTTGAAATTAATTTAAATTTTTATTAGGTTTTTAGATTTTTTAAAGTAAATATATTTTAAAATTTGATAACTTAAATAATTTAATTTTAACAATAAATTTAATATTTATTTATGAATTATTTACATTAACAAAATATAAATATATCATTACTTATGTGATAAATATTAAATTTATCTATATAAATAAAATTCAAGCTGTTAGTAATTCTGTGGTAAGAATGAGAAAATTTTATTTATTTTAATAAAAATCTAAAAATTCAATAAAAATTTTGGAGTAAACTAGCAGGCGCAGGTTTTGCCAAACAATGGCAATTACTAGTCTAAAACCGGACATTGTAATGAGTCTATTGACTGCAAGCCTAATAGGATACCTATCTCCAGTTTGCCAAAATTACCGACTTCTTTTTCTATTTTTTTGATGTATTTTTTAGTTTGACTATTTTTATTTTCAATTAATTTTTATTCACATTTACTAACATATGAGTATCCATTTTTTATTTTAAAAACGTAATTTACTTTTTTTTCTTTTTCTGAGGTTAACTCTGTCTTTTCTTATTTTTCTCCAAACTCTTCTTCTATCCTCATTAGATCGATTTTTTTTTCTTTAGTTCTTTTGTTATTCAATTGTGGATCAACACATTAATAATGTTTGTCCCATTTTTTTGTGTTCGAAGATTTGGTCAAGTGAACTGATTTTTTCTTTTGTTATTGTCTTATTCATTCATACATCAACAGCTAATTCATTTTTTCTGATAAGGTTGTTGATTTTTCTTTCCTGGCTTCAATGACTTGCTTCGGTGTCCCTCAGAGATCTAGTGATTTTTCTTAAGCTTTTTATGTTGACAAGAAATTAAAATTTAAAAATAAAATTTAGAAATAAAATTTAGAAATAAACTTTTGAAAAGGTTAGAGAGGGATCACCACTTACTTAAATTGTTGAGAATAAGGTCACCATAATTTATGAGAGATATGGGGTAAGGAAGTTTACTTAAACGTAAGAAAGAGCATATTCACATCGTATAACTTCCGTATCAAATGCAGTTGCGTATTTTAACTTTGGAATTTATTTGATGTTATTTGTTAAGCAAAACAAAGTTTTAAAGAATGTGAAGAAAATGATTGGATTTAAAGTGGGTTAAATACCTTGGTCCCTCAACTTTTTTTTTGAGGTAAATCTATTCTTAAACTTTAAAAAATACTAAAATTATTCTCAAATTTCAATTTTTAGAACCAATTTCGTCCTTTCGTTGACAAAAGTGCCAGATGGAACATTAAATTCCCACGAAATCAATCTTTTTTTTTTCAACTAACGATGTGGATGTGAGAAAATAAAACACGAGAGAAAAATGTGAAGAAAGTGATAATTTTCTTGATTCATTTGAATATACAAAATGCCTATTTATAGGCCTGTACATGAGAATATTTCGTAGTATAAAATCAATTAACCTAATTATGTCAATCAATTATAATGTAAATATAATCAAAGATGAAGAGATTCGTAGGCTGATTAGTAGAGTTAATAAAGACCAAGTGGACAATCCCTTTGGCAACATGATATCGAATAAAATGACAATCAACCTCAATATGTTTTGTGCGTTCATGAAAGATGTCATTGTAGGCAATCTGTATAGCACTTTGATTGTCACAATAAAGATCAGTAGAAAATGGTTGGGAAATACCCATATCTTCCAAGAGCC